TTCTCGTTGTAAGTCCCCGCGGGAATATAAATCACGAACCGCGTGCCGCCAGGAGCGGCGTCAATCGCGGCCTGGATCGTCGGGTACCCAGATCCGACGGTGGCACTGGCGGTCAGGGACGGGCTGACGACCATCGGTCCGGCCGTGGGAGACGCTTTCTTGCTGCTCTTTTTGCTGCTGCTCTTCTTATCGCCGCTATCGCTATCGCTGTCCTTGTCCTTCTCGCTCTTCTTCTTCTCCTCCTTATCCTTCTTCTCCTGCTCTTTCTTAGCCTTCTTCTCCTCGTCCTTCCTATCCTCCTCCTCGTCATCATCATCATCATCATCATCATCGTCTAATTGCCTTCTTGCCAAGGAGCCGCTCTCCGAATCCTCCCCGGCGCCAGCAGCGGCGAATTCGGCGTTCATCCTCGTTTGAAGCTCCTGCAGTTGTGCGTACAAGCCCGGCTCGAGCCAGTCCATCGCGCCGCTCCCCGCGGATCCCGCGCCGCTGCTGGATCGGACGGCCATGCGGCGTCCGCGCACTGGCGCCACGTCCTCCTCCGTCGATGGAACGTCGGTAGCAGCAGCTACAGCGGCTTTCGCGGCGGCGTTGGTGATAGAGACGAGCGCGTCGAGGGTGCTGCCCGCCTTCTTAGCCGTGTACTGCGGAGAGGGAAAAGAGGGGGATGGGTGGAGCACCGTTCTTAGCGATGATCGATGTATGTACGAGAAATTGCGTTTCTCTAAGCAGCAGACGAAGGGGAAGGGAGGAGCGTCACAAGGCGCAGCATCAATAACCAAAGAGGGCATGCATCTTCATAACTCAGCGCGAAATGAATCCGAGATCGATCTTTATGACTAATACCTCGAGGTGGATGTAAGCGGGGAGGCCCTGCGTCGAGGGCGAGAAGGTCTGGAATCCGTCAACGCAGTTATCGACCTGCGTGTCGGCGGCGGCCAGCCAATACGGCACGTCGCGCTGATTCGTGCCGTCTTCGATGGCGTCGCCCGCTTGCCCGAGGTACCGCAGCGCGATGTTCGCCTGCCGCGCGCAGGCCCGCGCCATGGCGTTCGTGAAGTGATCGTTCCGCACGTTGCTGGCCTTAATTTCGTCCGCCGCCGCGATGATCGCCGCGACTTGCGCTTGCACCTCCGCGACCATGGCAACGGTTACTTGGTCCTGCGACTGCGGCACCACGCCTAGGGATCGCCGCGCCACGCGGAACTCCGCGGCGCAATGCGTGCGGTTGGACGACGCGACGCACGGGCCCGGGTGGGAAATGACGAGGTAATTGTCCGCCATCTCGCAGCAGGAGATGACGGCGAGCGCGAGGCCGAGGCCTGCGATTGTCCAGACCGCCGCGCGTTTCAGCCAAGCTGTTTCCATTGTTGTTGAGAGAAGAGTTTACAACTGGAAAGTGCCTCTTCGGCCCTATACGAATGCTCGTATAGCAAGGGACAGTGCTGCTGGGGTAGGCCTTAGTGCACGGAAACAAGCGACAGGTATAACTGTCGAGCGGAAGGTTTAACTGCAATTGTGAGGAGGATGACGACTGCTGAGTGCAGATTTATGTTCCGAGGCGGGGGCTATTTGATAGGTATCTTGCGCAGGGAGGGGCAGCTGGTTCCGCGCGGTTCGATTTGATGGCTCGAGAAATCGAGGCGCGAGGCGCTACACCCTCCATCTATTGGCTCATACGGAGCGCAGAGGGGCTGACCGGGCTGGACCGATCGGGGTCAGGTGGGCAACTGGGAATTCGGCTAGTACCTGTTTCCAATCCCCATTCACACTTTTTGAACCCGCCAATGGCACAGAAGAAAATTTCCTAAAAAAAAAACAAGGAGCTAATGTTTCAATGTCACGACGATGGCACCAGAACTGTAATTCGTTACCCGGATCACGTCCTGAAGGTTTCTAGTTCTGAACGGCGCACCCGATGCCGTCCAACCTTTCGCCCTCCCAAAAATCCTCCCAGCGATGTGGTGACGGGTGTCATGACACCTCGGACGTGAAGCGACGCGTGATCCCGATGTGATTGTAACAGTTCAGGTCTCCTAACGAAGCTTTAGCGCTTCGGGCAGACTCGTTAAAGTGGCAGCTCTCGCCATCAGAATCAAGACCAGCCCCCAGCCGTCGTCCGCTGCTCCACGCTGTGCGAGCTCTGCGAGAGTGGGACCTCTGTCGCAAATAGAAAGCTGAATTCGCTAGAGGAAAAACTTCCGAGGGTTTCACTCCCTGACTTGCCGACCACGATACACCATTTAGCTTGATTTAAGAGCACTAGATACACGCACACGTTTGTAGCTATTTCTCAACGTTTCAGCAAACGTTTATTTAAACGGTAAGTCCAGGAATTTTTAATCCAACTGGAAATAAGTACCGAAATCAGTGTTACAAAGCAAGATGCTAATTGTTGTATATATTCCTTTCTGCTGTCGCCCATTACAACCGGTTCATTACTTACAACGCCCAGCCCACACTGCTTGCTTCCACCTGGCCTACTTGTTACCAACGACGGTTATTGTTATGCCAGTGAAACAACTCTCCTGCAAATGGCCTCGTTTCTGCTTCATCCACTTACTAATCCGTCAGTTGCAGTTATATAACTGCTACTTAGGCCCCTGTTACAGCCATCCCTACTACAGCCAGCCCTGATCCACACTTCCTGCTACACTGATTAGAGAATAGAAAACACTTGCTTCGTTACTTGTTACGAACTGTCGTCGTGTGTTTGTGCTACAGCTGCCCCTGTTGGTGCTACATCTGCCCCTGTTGGTGCTACATCTGCCCCTGTTGGTGCTACAGCTGCCCCTGTTGGTGCTACATCTGCCCCTGTTGGTGCTACAGCTGCCCCTGTTGCTCCAATTCCCCAGTGCCTCAACAGCTCCTCCTGTTTCTCTTGCATCTGCCCTCGCTGACTTTTGAGGTGCCTCAAAACTTAACAGCCTCTCCTGTTCCTTCTGCAACTGCCCGCGTTGGTGCTGCAGCTGCCCCAACTTTTCCACCTGCCCCAGTCGCTGTTACTGTCCCTGCTACATCCTTCCCTGTCCCTGCTATCTCTGTCCCTGCTACATCTTTCTCTGTCCCTGCTACATCTTCCTCTGTCCCTGCTACATCGTTCTCTGTCCCTGCTACATCTTTCTCTGTCCCTGCTACATCTTTCTCTGTCCCTGCTACATCCTTCTCTGTCCCTGCTACATCCTTCTCTGTCCCTGCTACATCCTTCTCTGTCCATGCTACAGCCTTCTCTGCCCCTGCTATAGGCTTTCCCTGTCCCTGCTATATACTTTACAGTACCTGCTATACCTTCCCGTTGCAAACAAACTTTATGCCGTTCCAAAAGCACACGAGGGGTGGGGGTGAGGAGTTGACTTTTGAGTCGACTAATACATCGAATTGCTTCAGCTTCCCCCTGTTGCAAAGGAGCTTCTAGCCATCCTCGCTATTCCTTCCCATTGCAAACAAACTTTATGCCGTTCCAGAAGCACCCGAGGGGGGGGGGGGAAGGAGCAGGCGGCGGGGGAGGGGAAGGGGGAGGGCTGGGGGGAGAGGGTGGGGGAGGAGAGGACGGAGGGGAAGGAGGAGGAGAGGGAGGAGGGAAGGGGGGAGGAGTGGGAGGAGGGGAGGGAGGGGGAGAGGGAGGGGATGGAGAGGAGGAGGAGGAGGAGGAGGAGGAGGGGAGGTTGGAGGGGGAGGGAGAGAGGGAGGAGGTGAAAGAGGGAGGGGAGGGGAAGAATCGGGGGGTGAAGGTGGGAATGGGGGGGAGTCCGGGGGTGAAGGATGGGGAGGAATGGAGCTGGGAGGAGGAGGAGAGGGTGGTGGTGACGAGGAAGAAACAGGTGGGGAAGGAGGAGACAGAGAGGGGGGTGAGGGAGGTGGGTTAGGGGGAGGGGAAGGGGGCGGTTGTGGTGGTGGGGAAGGGGGAGGTGGAGGGGGTTTCCGGGGCAAGCCAGGGGAGGGTGAACCTGGGCAGGGGGGAGACATGGGGGAAAAGAGCCGATGGGGAAACAGACGGGCAGAAAGGAGAACAACTGAAAGAGAAATAAAAGGGAAGAACGGAGAGGGAGTGAGAGAGAATGTGAGGAGGAGGCAAGCATTTTGCAGCAGATTACTGTACCATAGCATCGTAGCAAAACATTACAAAGAACAAATATATGTTTCCATAACCAAAACAATATGAAGAAACGTATAGATTACACGGCGCTATATCTTTATGCTTACATGAAAAAGAAACAGCTGGAGGCGATTTGCTGGTTACCACCTTGGCAAGGCACACCCCCAAGCCTCCACACTGCATGTTCTCAGCTTCGGTTGCCGAACCACTCAGTCCGGTTCAGCAGAACAGGCTACAGTCGTCCACACTCCTCTGCCCTTCCAAACCTAGCACCGAGCCTGATGCTGCTGTTTCTCCGGTCCCTGACAGATTATACACCAGGCAGTTCCTTCCCACGCTCAGCGCCACCGAACCTGCAGCTCCGGAGCTCTGGATGGTTCCCGAGCCTGGGGCGGAGGTCTGGGAGAGCAGCGGCGTGCCCTGAGTGTCGATGATTGTTGCTGGACCAAAGAAGTAGTTGCGGGAGAGGTCTAGGAGGGCGATTGCTGGGGCAGAGTAAACCTTGGGAAGAGGGCCGGTGAAATAGTTGCGCGAGAGATTGCTGCATGGGGGGATGTGGGGGGGGGGGAGGGGGGGGGTTGAGGGGTGGCCGTGGTGCATGGGGCAGAGAGGGGGGGGGGGGAAACGGAGGGAGGGTGGAAACGGAGAGGGAAGGGGAGGGGGAGGTAAGAAAGGATGGAAAAGGGAGGGAGGAAAGGGGGCAGAGGGGGTGGGGTGGGGGGAGAGGGAGGAGGGGTGGGGGCTGGAGAAATAGTTGCGAGGGAAGTGGATAAGGGGAAGCAAAGGAAAAGGGCTTACGGATACGTGAGGTAGGGTGAGGTGCGGAAAGGTGGGGGAGGGTGAGAGGGAAGGGAAGTGCTTACAGATATGCGAGGGAGTGTGAGGGAGAGGGGAGGTGACTCACAGATATGCGAGGGATTGAAGATTGCTGATCAAATCTGATGGTTTTCCGCTGAGGGCGTTGTTGCTGACATCACTGCCAGAAAGAGGAGTGTGTTTGTGCGTGTGGGTGGAGGAAGGAGGTAGGGAACGTTGAGGAGGAGGAGGAGGAAGAGTGGGGGTTGGAGTGACAGAAGGTACACGGTTAGGTGTGAGAAGAAACTTTTAGCTAAACGTTAGATATATGAAAAAAAAAGACGTTGTGTGTGGGAGGAACGAAGAGGGGAACGAGTAAAAGGGAGGCGAGGCGAGAAAGGATCATCAACAAACAAACGGATTCCAAAAACTGTAACTAACAATTGCAAAAACGGAAAGATAATTGGGAAATAAAAAACTTACAGCGATACAAGGAATGCACATGTAGTTACAGTGGCAGGTAGCACACCGGTGAGCTTGTTCTGAGACAAGTCTCTAAAGGGGATGAGCGAGGGGGGGTGATGGATTTAATAGAGCATGTAAGTAATGAGCAAAGGGATGATGAGAGAGTGACGAAAACACGGACACAGCAAAGGAGGCGTTACTTGCATCAACTCTTGTTGAGTTGAGTCGCAATCAGGGCAGAGAGTGACTGTGACTAACCCGAGTCACCTCAACTTTTGAGTCGACTCAAAGCTGACTGTGACTAACCCGAGTCATCTCAAAATCGTTTTTGAGTCAACTCAAAAACAGACTCATCACGTGTGAAACAGCAAACAGAGATGGAGGAGAGAAGAGAAACTAAGAGAAGAGGAGGAGTCACGCACACTCTCCTCGAAAGAGAGAGTGAGAAAGCAGATGGGGTTGGAGGTGAGAAGACTGTATGACTCGCTTGCTGCGATAGAATGACTTTTGAGTCGACTCAAAAGTCAGAGGAGAGAAGACTGAGTGACTCGCTTGCTGCGATAGAATGACTTTTGAGTCGACTCAAAAGTCAGAGGAGAGAAGACAGTGTGCCTCGCTTGCTGCGATAGAATGACTTTTGAGTCGACTCAAAAGTCAGAGGAGAGAAGACTGAGTGACTCGCTTGCTGCGATAGAATGACTTTTGAGTCGACTCAAAAGTCAGAGGAGAGAAGACTGTGTGACTCGCTTGCTGCGATAGAATGACTTTTGAGTCGACTCAAAAGTCAGAGGAGAGAAGACAGTGTGACTCGCTTGCTGCGATAGAATGACTTTTGAGTCGACTCAAAAGTCAGAGGAGAGAAGACTGAGTGACTCGCTTGCTGCGATAGAATGACTTTTGAGTCGACTCAAAAGTCAGAGGAGAGAAGACTGTGTGACTCGCTTGCTGCGATAGAATGACTTTTGAGTCGACTCAAAAGTCAGAGGAGAGAAGACTGTGTGACTCGCTTGCTGCGATAGAATGACTTTTGAGTCGACTCAAAAGTCAGAGGAAAGAAGACAGTGTGACTCGCTTGCTGCGATAGAATGACTTTTGAGTCGACTCAAAAGTCAGAGGAGAGAAGACAGTGTGACTCGCTGGCGGCGATAGAATCTGCCCTCACAGCAGCGAGAAACTAGTGGCATGGTTTTGAAACAGTGATAGCGAGGGAAGAAGGGAAAGCGAATGAAGGGGTAGCAAGAGACGGAGGGAAGGAGAGAGAGGACTGGAGGAAGGGAGAGATGGGTTGAAAACTCGTGCAAGGAGGGTACGCAGACAGTGTTCAACTCGTATTTTTGAGTCGACTCAAAAAGAGAGCAAGGAGGGTACGCACACAGTGTTCAACTCGTTGCCCGGGGGGGGGGGAGGGAATGTCCAGGACTGGGACTGAGTCTTCTATTGAGACTCCCAATTTGAGAGGTTCTTTTCCCCCTCTCATCAAGACGGAAGGAGAGGGATGGAAGCACTCACACAGTGTTCAACTCGTTGCCAGGGGGGAAGATGTCCGGGACTGAGTGTTTTCTTGGGAGAGAAAGGGTTAGAGAGGGGAAAGAGAGGGAGGGTTGAGAGGAGGAGAGAGAGAAAGGAGCACTCACACAGTGTTCAACTCGTTGCCTGGGGGGAAGATGTCCGGGACTGAGCCTTCAAGCTGGTTGCGTGAGAGGTCTCTGAATACATTGGGGGGTGGGGGGAAGGGGATGTGAGGGGAGGGGATGTGAGGGGAGGGTGAGAGGGGAGGAGATTTGGGGGGAGGGGATGCGAGGGGAGGGGATGCAGGAGGAAGGTGGCAGGGTTTAGGGTGGCAGGGTAGGAGTTTTGAGTCGACTCAAAACTAGGTGGCAGGCAGGGTAGGAGTGCGGGGTAGAGGGAAAAACACTGGGATATGCTCGGGGGAGGGGGAACCGTCAAGCTGGTTGTGAGATGTGAACTATGTGATGGAAGACGCAAGACGCGTCTTGCGTCTAGCGTCTAGACGCTAGACGCTAGACGCTCGTTTAGACGCTAGACGCTTGGGTAAAAAATTTCCAGGCAGCCCGGATTTTTTTTTTCGATGTAGTAGTAGCTATTTATTTCGTGTTTGCTACTGCTAGAGAGACGTGGTTCCCTAACTATGTATGATGAGAAATGAGGATTTTTGTGAACTCTAAATATGGGGAAAAACTTTTGGTACGGCGGAAATTTGACCCAATTGTGCCATATGTGCATGTCCCCCACCCTCCCTATGGCCCTCAGAAGTTTTTTTAGGCTGCCCGAACATTTTTTTTAGGCCTGCCCGGGTTTTCGTCTAATATGCGTCTAACCTAGGCGGAAATGCGTCTAGCGTCTTAGACGCTGCGTCTAGACGCAACCGTCTAAGACGCTAGACGCGTCTTCCGTCACATAGGATGTGAACGGTCTACTCTTCTAAAAGTCTTGAAACCGTTTCCACACAGATAGGGATGTGATTCTTTAGTCGACTAAAAGAACGGTCGTTGGACAGATAGGGATGTGGACTTGACGACTTTGGAAAGGTGCCCTGCGCTGCGGAGGCTTAATTCCATCAAAACTTAGCGGAGGCTTAGCAGTGTGCATGTTTAAGAGGTATTCCATCAGCAAAACTAACTCCTTGATAGAGATGGAAGTGTTCAGCATCTCAAGAAAAGTCATCAGACAGATAGGGTCCGTCCAGGGATCTGGATAGACGAGGCATGCATTTCACAGAGTGACAGTGAGAAAAGAATATTTTTTTCTTCTTTTCTTTTCCCAGTACAGGTACAGTACAGATGAAAGACGCACGGGAGGTCTTTTGAGGCGCCTCAAAAGTCGTCCCTATACCCGCAATCTCTATATTGAAAAGCACACTGTATCCATGTTGAGATTAGATTGAAGGAGACACGCACAGATGAAAGAGGTAAGGGAGGTTGCCTAAGGTGGGTGGGATTTCGCCCACAAGGCTGTTGCGATCCAACTCGCTGGACGAGGGGGGAGAGAAGGGCAGGGGAAGGGCAGGGAAGGGGCAGGGGAAGGGCGTGTCAAAAGACATGGCAGGGAGGCTAACAGGCAAGCGAGATAGGAGAGGTCTGTGGAGGGTGAAACGCGAGGGATGAGGCAGGAAAGTGTTTTTTGAGGCGCCTCAAAAACAGGCAAGAATGGATAAGGGATGGATGAGGTGAGAGAGGGTGCTGTTGTGTACGGTGCCTTTGCCTTTGATTAAAAAAAAGGGAAAAAAAAAAAAAAAAGAGGCAACCTACTACGGTAGAAAGGCTTACAAATGTGAAAGAAGTGAATGTTTGTGAGCCTTCCTATTGTATCAGAGTTTCACTTCTTTCACATGGATGAGGTGGGAGGGAGAGGGTGATGTTTTGTGAGGTGCCTTTGCCTTTGACTCAAACAGAGAAAAGGAAAGGGAGGCTACCTGCGGTAGGAAGGCTTACAGATGGGCGAGGTAGGCGAGTTTGCCACGGGCGGTGAAGAGGGATGCAGTGCGGTGCAGTGAGTTTTGTTGAGGCTTACAGATAGGCGAGGTACGAGAGTTCGCCAAGGGCAGTTAAGAGGGATGCAGTGCGGTGCGATGAGGGGCTTACAGATAGGCGAGGTAGGCGAGCTCGCCAAGGGAGTTACAAAGGGTTGCAGTACGGTGCAAGGGATTTGGATCAAGAAAAGGCATGGTAGGAAGGCTTACAGATAGGCGAGGTAGGAGAGCTCGCCAAGGCCGGGAGGGATGGGGCCGGTGAGAGTGTTGTTGCTGGCATCGCTGGTGTGAGGGGTGGAGAGGGGTGGAGAGGGGTGGAGAGGGGTGGAGAGAGGCAGAAAAGGGCAGTGAGGGTGCTGAAGGTGGGAGGGATGGGGCCCGTGAAAGTGTTGGCAGTGCTGGCAGTGCTGGCATGGGAATAAGGGAAGGGAAAGGTAAGCGAGCTCCAAACCCGTTTGCACCGCTCTGAAACGAGGGCAGTACTCACAGGTGGGAGAGGAGGGAGAGAGCAGAGAGGGAGGCAGGCAGAGAGGAAGAGAGGCGGTTGGAATCTAGTAGCCTGCAGCAGGGAGGGTGAGGAGGGGAAGGGAGAGTAAGACAAGGAGAGGGCTGAATGGATGAGTAGCGGGAGGCAGGGAGAGGGGTAAGGGGAGGGAGGGGTTGGTGGAAGAGGGGGATGGGGCAGGGTAAGCGAGCGTTTGAAAGAAGAGGAAGAGATGTGTCAATAAGCTTGACTATAGGCAAACGTTAAGCAGAGCAGAGGAGGTGAAACGAATGCCGTCAGTACAGAGCTTGAGTGGGCACGCAGCACAAGTAACGGAGCCTACCGCATTTTACACATACGCCAAAAGAACCAATAAATCTTTTGAGACGTATAAAGAAGGAATACGTTGTTGGAAGAAAGAATAAAGCATGGAAGTGAGAGAGAGAAAAAAGATCAAACGGGCAGTTGACAGACAATGGTGTTGTGCTTCTGAGACTGAAGGTGACTTTTGAGTCGACTCAAAAGAATGAAGCATGGGAGTGAGAGAGAGAAAATAGATCAAACAGGCAGTTGATAGAGCACCGCTGTTGTGCTTCTGAGACTGAAGGTTCGCAGGGACTACTTTTGAGGCGCCTCAAGAGTGGGCACCGCCGCTGAGGGACTAGATGGGTCACAGGGACTAGATGGGTCACAGGGACTAGATGGGTCACAGGGACTAGATGGGTCACAGGGTAGTGATGGGTCACAGGGACTAGATGGGTCACAGGGACTAGATGGGTCACAGGGACTAGATGGGTCACAGGGACTAGATGGGTCACAGGGACTAGATGGGTCACAGGGACTAGATGGGTCACAGGGACTAGATGGGTCACAGGGACTAGATGGGTCACAGGGACTAGATGGGTCACAGGGACTAGATGGGTCACAGGGACTAGATGGGTCACAGGGACTAGATGGGTCACAGGGACTAGATGGGTCACAGGGACTAGATGGGTCACAGGGACTAGATGGGTCACAGGGACTAGATGGGTCACAGGGACTAGATGGGTGACACACGTGAGACAGCTCACAGGAATCTGAGCCTCGATAGCTTGCCGATGGCTGCAGGTATAGAGCCCGTGAGACGATTGTTGCTCAGATAGCTGGCGGGACGATGTAAGGATGATGATGATGACAGGGACGATGGGGAGGGATGAAAGGAACATTAATTGACGGGGGGGGGGAAAGGGGGGGTGAGAGAAGAGGTGAAAATAGCCCCGAAGACAATTGCTGCTCATGAAGTTTACAAGAAACAACAAGGAAGGCAGGCAGCAGGGGAAGCTGTGAAATGTAGAAAGTGTAGAATTCTCAGCCTCCATTCAGAAGTACTTGGTTTAAGAGTACTATCAAACCAAGTCCTCCAAGAACTAGCGCTCTATTAACAGTACTTGGTTAAATAGAACTCCATTCTCCAGAACCAGCTCCTCTCATTTTCCACCCTCCTCATTTTCCACCCTCCTCATTTTCCACCCTCCTCATTTTCCACCCTCCTCATTTTCCACCCTCCTCATTTTCCACCCTCCTCATTTACCAACCTCCTCATTTTCCACCCTCCTCATTTTCCACCCTCCTCATTTTCCACCCTCCTCATTTTCTACCCTCCTCATTTTCCACCCTCCTCATTTTCCACCCTCCTCATTTACCACCCTCCTCATTTTCCACCCTCCTCATTTTCTACCCTCCTCATTTTCCACCCTCATTCTCCACCCTCCTCATTTTCCACCCTCCTCATTCTCCACCCTCCTCATTTTCCACCCTCCTCATTTTCCACCCTCCTCATTCTCCACCCTCCTCATTTTCCACCCTCCTCATTTTTCACCCTCCTCATTTTCCACCCTCCTCATTTTTCACCCTCCTCATTTTCCACCCTCCTCATTTTTCACCGTCCACTTACAGCCAGAAGAGCTTGACACATGCTGGCAAGGTGGATGGGATGGATGACGTCAGCATGTTGTCTCTCAAGTCTCTGTTATGTTATGTTATGCCGTGTCATACCATACCATGCCATGCCATGCCATGCCATACCACAACATGCCATGCGACAACATGTCATGCCAATGCCATTTCAACACAACACAGCAGAACACAGACATGTAGACTTGGGCATGCCGCTCTCAGGTGCTTTGTTCGCTAGTGGCTGCCCTCTTCCTTTTCAGAGGTGGGTGGAGTTTAGGGATTAGGATGGGGCCCGCTCGAGAGTTTGCAAAGCAAGTGGGAGTTGCAGCAGCTGATGGTGGTGCTGGTGGGAATGAATCCGATACTTCACAGCAGGTGCTGCAGGGCTTTCAGTTGAAACTCGGGCTTTAGGTTGAAACTCGGGCTTTAAGTTGAGGTTACTCACAGCAGCTGCAGCGCTTTAAAGTTTGACACTTGCGGTGCAATGCTGCCCGAGAGACGGTTGGATCGCAGAGAACTGAGGGGGACAGGGAGAGGAGAGGGGAGAGGAGGAGATGAGAAGAGAGGAAAGGAGAGGAGAGTTTGTATAAGGCGATTCAAAAGGCAGTTGCGGTGCAATGCTGCCGAAGAGACGGTTTGACTGCAGAGAACTGAGGGAGGCAGAGAGAGAGACGAGAGGAGGAAATGAGACGAGAGGAGGAAATGAGACGAGAGGAGGAAATGAGACGAGAGGAAAGGAGAAGAGAGTAGACGAGAGGAAAGGAGAGGAGAGTAGACGTGAGGAAAGGAGAGGAGAGTAGACGAGAGGAAAGGAGAGGAGAGTAGACGAGAGGAAAGGAGAGGAGAGTAGACGAGAGGAAAGGAGAGGAGAGTAGACGAGAGGAAAGGAGAGGAGAGTAGACGAGAGGAAAGGAGAGGAGAGTAGACGAGAGGAAAGGAGAGGAGAGTAGACGAGAGGAAAGGAGAGGAGAGTAGACGAGAGGAAAGGAGAGGAGAGTAGACGAGAGGAAAGGAGAGGAGAGTAGACGAGAGGAAAGGAGAGGAGAGTAGACGAGAGGAAAGGGGAGGAGAGTAGACGAGAGGAAAGGAGAGGAGAGTAGACGAGAGGAAAGGAGAGGAGAGTAGACGAGAGGAAAGGGGAGGAGAGTAGACGAGAGGAAAGGAGAGGAGAGTAGACGAGAGGAAAGGAGAGGAGAGTAGACGAGTGGAAAGGAGAGGAGAGTAGACGAGAGGAAAGGAGAGGAGAGTAGACGAGAGGAAAGGAGAGGAGAGTAGACGAGAGGAAAGGAGAGGAGAGTAGACGAGAGGAAAGGAGAGGAGAGTAGACGAGAGGAAAGGGGAGGAGAGTAGACGAGAGGAAAGGAGAGGAGAGTAGACGAGAGGAAAGGAGAGGAGAGTAGACGAGAGGAAAGGAGAGGAGAGTAGACGAGAGGAAAGGAGAGGAGAGTAGACGAGAGGAAAGGAGAGGAGAGTAGACGAGAGGAAAGGGGAGGAGAGTAGACGAGAGGAAAGGAGAGGAGAGTAGACGAGAGGAAAGGAGAGGAGAGTAGACGAGTGGAAAGGAGAGGAGAGTAGACGAGAGGAGAGGAGAGGAGAGTAGACGAGAGGAAAGGAGAGGAGAGTAGACGAGACGAGAGGAGAGGAGAGTAGACGAGAGGAAAGGAGAGGAGAGTAGACGAGAGGAAAGGAGAGGAGAGTAGACGAGAGGAAAGGAGAGGAGAGTAGACGAGAGGAAAGGAGAGGAGAGTAGACGAGAGGAAAGGGGCGCGATGAGGGGAGCCCGTATGAGGCAATTCAAAAACTCAATTGCAGTGCAATGCTGCCTGAGAGGCGGTTGGAATGGAGAGAACTGGGGGGATGCAGGGAGAAGGGAGGAGAGGGGTGGGGCGAGGTGAGGGGAGGAGGGGGGTGGGGCGAGGTGAGGGGAGGAGGGGGGTGGGGCGAGGTGAGGGGAGGAGAGTGACAAAAGGGGGGCAGGGGCAGAGAGTGGGTAAAGATAAGGGGAAAGATGCACGGGAATGAGGGCTTGTTTGAGAAGTTTCAGAAACAGTAGGGGGACAGAGCGAAAGGTGGTACGCACAGGTAAGAGATGTTGGTGAGGGAGTAGAGCTGCGAGGGAATGGGGCCTGTAAACTGATTGCCGTCCAAGCGGCTGCGTAGGAGGGGAGGAATGAGAGAAGGGGGCGGGATGAGGGGAGAGAGGGTGGAGCGGAGAGCAGGAGGAGGGGAGAGTGGAAGGAAGGATAGGAAAAATGAAGCCCTCTAAAATCTGTGGCACACACTTGGAACAAGGTTGTAAAATGGCAACAAAACAGCGGGCCAGCTCTTAAAAAATTTCCGGCCTTGAATTTGGGAGAGTGAGGGATTCTTGAAAAAGAGATGGAGCAAGAGCGAGTGGGCTTGGCGTGGCATAGCATGGGATGGCATGGCATGGCATGGGATTTGATCGCATGGCATGGCATGGCATGGCATGGCATGGCATGGCATGGCATAGCATCATGGCATGGCATGGCATGGCATGGCATAGCATGGCATGGCATGGCTTGGGTGCGTACAGGAATGCCAGGCGAGAAAGTTTTGCGAGGCCAGTGGGGATGTTTCCTGTAAGCTGGTTTTGAGCAAGATTTCTGGGGGATGGGCGGCGGAGAGTAAAAAGAGGACGGGAAAGAGAAAGGAGAGGAGAATGTATAATGAATGAATGCAAGAGAAAATGGGGAGGCCAGTGGGTATGCTCCCTGTGAGATGGTTTTGAGCCGGATGGCTGGTGGGGAAGGGAAAACACCAACCCTCGTAAATGGTCTGCAAATTCCATGGAGACGCGATGCAAACGCCGTGTAAAACGCTGTGCCGTGCAAAGTGGTCTTTGACTCGACTAAAAAAAACAGCATGCCATGCCACGCCATGCCATGCCACGCAAGGGAGGTCCCAATCCCATACCAATACCATATCAGTGCGATGCAGCGGAGCAGAGAGCAGCAGAGTCTTACAGTGTGCGCAGCTGCTGCAGGCGAGTCACAGCGGAATGAATGCCATGCCTGCCTTGGCAGCTTCTGAGGGAACGACAGCAAGTGTGATGCGAGTGTTATGCAAGCATCGTGCCAGCGCTTTGCAAGTGTGGTGCGATGCAGCAGAGCAGAGAGCAGCCCGCCTTACAGTGTGCGCAGCTGCAGCAGCCGCAACACCACAGAAGGGAAGGTTCCAGCTAGGTTGTTAATTCCTAAGTGGCTGGGTGGGGGAGAGGGGGAGAAGGGCAAACAGTTGTGAGACGTCTCAAAGAGGAAGGGAAGGTTTCAGCAAGGTTGTTAAAGCCTAAGTGGCTGCAGTGGAGTGTAGGCGAGTCACAAGAGAAGGAATCGTGTCACAGAGGGGAGACAGGCAGAGAGGGGACAGGAAGAGAGGGGACAGACACATGTTGAGCAGTGCAAGAGTAGAGTAAAGGGCCGTGATTTTGGAACACATGGGTGAGTGAGTGAGTGAGTGAGTGAGTGAATCACTGTGTGTGTGAGGGTGAAGAGGGAATGAGGGCGTACAGAGCCGTGAGTGTGGAGCTGAGCTGAACAAGGGTGGAGGGAAGGCTCGTCAGGTTGCTGGCAATGGATCTGCTTATAAAGGGGATGCGGAAAAGCGGAGGAGAATAAGAATCCATGCTTGTTATTTTAGCCAGGCAGGCACGCAAAAGACGGCCAGCGCAGCTGAATGACTTGGAAATGCGGTGGGTTCGTGAAGAAAGCAGGTGTTGGTGTTAACTCTGAGCACTCTCAGTAGTCACCCCAGCACAGACTTTTGAGACGTCTCAAAAGCATTCCCAGTAGTAACCCCAGCACAGCTGATTTCATGGAGTTTGCTTCGTCGTCCTAAGAAACAGTTTGAGTTGATGGACATCAGACCTCCGCAGCCCACCTGTTTACTCCTGACAACACCCCAGCACAGACTTTTGAGACGTCTCAAAAGCATTCCCAGTAGTAACCCCAGCACAGCTGAATGACTTGGAAATGCGGCGGATCCTTGAAGGAAGCGAATGGAAAGCAGAGGATACGGAGCTGAGGGGGGCAGAGCAGAGCAGGAGGGGGCAGAGAGGAGCAATGAGGAGGAAGCTTACAGGAAGGAGAGTGAAGGGAGGCTCCCTATAGCGCCTGGTAGCGGCCCCACCACTCCCACTAGGGTGCTGCGATGATGAGGGACGGAGAGGAGGCGCAGGGAAGATGAGGAGAAGATGAGATGAGATGAGATGAGATGAGATGAGATGAGATGAGATGAGATGAGATGAGATGAGATGAGATGAGATGAGATGAGATGAGGTGGGAAGAGGTATGGGACTCTTAAACGCCTCTCCAATGGCGCCTGTGAGCGCCCCGTTGATGCCAGTTTTGAGAATTCGCAAAAGTAACATCGCCAATGGCGTCTGGGAGCGGCCCCACCACTCCCACTGGGAGAAAGGGAGACTGGGGGAAACCAGACAAGGAGAAAGACTCACAGAGCGGTGATATAGCCGAGACTAGGGGTTATAACCCTGTAACGGTTATAATCTACCCAAAACCACCTCTGCTGCGCTGCCCACAGTGCTGTGACCGAGGACTCACAACGCGGTAACCCCTAGGACTCACAGCAGGGTGACGTAACCGTTGACGTTGCACATGCCCTCAAAAAGGACCTCACACGACCAGCTGCCACCCAGAGAGCATACGCCCCCCAATGTAACTGCCCTGCCGTTACCACTCACGGTGCGGTAACCTAGGAGGACTCACAGAGCAGTGACGTAGCCGTTGACTTGATGGCGCACACGACCCCAAAGAGCGCGTCGCAATTGTCCTCGCTCTTCCAAAACGCTTTGGGATTTGCCCGCGCTCTTCCAAAACGCCTTGGGATTTGCCCGCGCTCTTCCAAAACGCCTTGGGATTTGCCAGCACTCTTCCAAAACGCCTTTGCTACTCACTCGCATTTGAGAAAGGACTCACAGAGCAGTGACGTAGCCGTTGACGGCGCACACAACGCCAAAGAGCGCCTTGGGAACTCAGAGCGTCTGGCGCGATAACATACCAAAAACCATACCGAAACCGCCTCTGCCACTCACAGAGCCGTGACATAACCATTGACGTCACACACGACCCCGTATAGAGCCTCGCAGTTGTCCGCGCTCTTTCAGTACGCCTTGGGCCTGCGAGTGTTATTGAGAGTTTTCAAAAACACCCTGAAACACCAAGGAGAGCCTCGCAGTTGTCCGCGCTCTTTCAGTACGCCTTGGGGGTGCAGCTCGGGCTCCTCGATAACACAGCCGGACCGGGTTTGTCTGTTGCCACTCACAGCGGGGTAACCTACGGCGACTCACAGAGCAGTGACATCTGCCACTCACACCTGAGGAAGGAAGGACTCAAAGCGCGGCAGGTGTGATGTCTGCTGCCACTCACAGCGGGGTAACCTCGGAAGAACTCACAGCGCGGTGACATAGCCGTTGACATCACACACCACCCCAAAAAGCGCTTCGCAGTTCTCCGCGCTCTTCCAGTAAGCTTTGGGGCTGCGGCTAGGGTTCACGAACGACAGCTGGTCCCTCAGAGCCACCAGCGCTTTCCCTGGTTGAGGGGCGGAGGCGGGTGGGGGTGGGGATTGCAGGGGAAGACGAGCGGCGAAGTGTGAGAGTGCTTGCAATCCGCTCTTCCAGAACGCCTTGGGGCTGCGGCTAGGGTTCACGAACGACAGCTGGTCCCTCAGAGTCACCAGCGCTTTCCCTGTTTTGGGAGTTCAGGGTTCCGAGGGGGGGGGGGGGGGGGGGGGGGGGGGGGGGGAAGACAAGTGGAGGGAGGGGGGGCGGACGGGAAGGGGCGGGGCGAAGATGAACCTGAACGCATTGGGGCTGCGGCTGGGTTTTACAAGCGACAGCTGGACCCTCAAGAGTCATTAGCGCTTGCCCTGCTTGGGGCTGCGGCTAGGGTTTACAAACGACAGTTGGTCGCTGAGAGTCACAAAGGCTTGCCCCGCTCGGTGCGGTGGGGAGGGAGGGAAGAGGAAGGGTTGGGAGGAGAGGAGGAGGAAAGAGAAGGTGGGAGGGAGGAGGGGAAGGGATGAGAGGGAGGGAGGAGCGGGGGGGAGGGTGGGAGAGGAAGGGTCGGGGATTGCGGAGGGTGGAAAGCGGCTGGGAACGGTGGGGGGAAGATGAGGATTTTGACGAATAGCGGGAGAGCTGCAAAGCTGCAAATCTTCGCTCCAAACGTGGGATCGGGGGGTGGGAAGCGGCTGGGAGCGTGCAGGGAGATGAGGACCTCATCCAGCATAGCGTTCTGAGCGTAGCGTTCTGAGCGTAAACAAACTACTCTTCCAGCCCAGAACGCCTTGGGAATGCGATTAGGGTTAACGAAGACAGCACTCCAGGAGTCCACGGTCAAGAATCCACGAATTAGAATACGACTGTATGTAACAGCCTCTCGAACATGCTACCACCCGTACGCACACCAGCGTTACGCGTTACAGCCCGTACGCCTACCACCCGTACGTATCCCTGCGCCGCCGTTTTACGACCCGTACGTTACGAACCGTGCATCTTCATCCACCCGTACGAACCTACAACCTGCATGCCATAAACTGTTCGAAACGAGCCGTACGTTCAAGCCCCATAAGGAACAAGCCTCCCGTTACACCCCGTTACAACTCGCTCCCACCCGTTACAACCGGCCACAACCGCTTGTTACACCCGAGGACTCACAGTCTGGCGGGAACACGCGAGTCCCCCAGGAAGCCATGGCGCCCGAGTAATCCCGCTGCCGCTGCTGCTGCCGCTGCTGCTGCAGCTGCTGAGGGTGCTGGCGATGGTACTGGACTGTCGGCGCGAGCAAGAGAAGCACGAGCGCGCACACCCACCACAGCCGCTCCTGCCGCTGTCTCCGCCGCAATTGCCGTCCAGAAGCACGCCGGGAAAGGCCACCGTTTGTGTCACTCCGTGCTATGTCACCCCTACTACTACCCATGACGTTACTCCCTATTTCGTCACCCTCCATAGTGTCAAACTCGCACTACGTCACTCTCCATACTGTCGAATCCTGGGCTCTTAGTACGGGCGACGCGGCTGTGCCACTTGCGAGGCGGAATGCGAGCTTCGGAATGCGAGCTTCGGAATGCAAACTTCGGAATGCGAGCTTCGGAGTGCGAGAATCGGAGTGCAAGCTTCGGAAGGCGAGCTACGGAGTGAGCTTCAAAGCGCGAGCTTCGGAGTGCGAGCTTCGGAGCGCGGGCTTCGGGGTGGGAGCTTCGGAGTGCGAGCTTCGGAAACAAGAGCTTCAGATATCAAACGACACAGGCTCGGGAGGACGGAGAATGAAACGCGGCGGTGCGAACGAGAACCAGTGGAAAGCGAGGACAGGAACACAGAGACGCGAAGGAAACCACGGAGGAACGTAGGCTAGGCAGCAGAGCAAACCCAAGGAACAAGAAACCTACCTACCTTTGTTTTCTGTTCCTTCGCCTGAAGGAGGTCTAGAAGCCCAAACAGTGTCCTGCAGTTGCTTGGTTGGATTGGAGGGAACGAGGGGGAGGTGCAAACAGCAAAAGACCAGGACTTCACTGTATTCTGTCTTCTCGTTGGTTTGGGCAATCATCAGATGGCGTTCACAGGAAGTTCGCTCAAGCGAAGTAGGCTCAAGAGGCCCAAAAGTGCAGATATTTGCAACCTCGCACACCCACTCCACGAGCCATACGAATGTGGATACACACCTAGACGAGTTTGAGTGAGTTCGCAAACCCAATCAGGTGCATGTAACCCCGTCGACTTCAAGATCGTTCACGACAAGCTTTCGTGAAGCAACCCCAAACACGTGCTTCACAAATATCTGTGCACTGTTGTTGAGCGCGGTTCGCTTTGAGCGAACTTGCTGTGAACGCTATCTCAGTTCTTTTTCCCGTAGACCGTTCCCCGAGCTGAACGGTACTGTACTGGACACGTGGGGTCTGTGGTGCTGGCACAGCACATTCAAAAACATTTGCGCCCACTCGTTCCAACCTTTGCGTTCCAATATACAGTACATTGCCGATAGGCGATGGGGTACACCCTGGCTGGTGTCAGAATCCCGAATCGTGCCCACCAAATGTTCCAGCACTGCACGCGTCGGCAAAGTTTACCTCAGCGGCCAAAAAAGGCCGCCCGATTTCGAGGTACAAATGGGACAAGGGCCCCCCTCCGGACTGACGACCTCCTGACGACCTCCGAGCGGCAAACTGGGCCGAACTGGCGTCCCAGGGGCCTCGGGAGCCCTCGGGATTGTCGACATTCTGACGACCTCGGGTTCTGCTGGGAGATACCTGAGAAGGATATCTCAGCAGACAAAACAGGAGAGCCCGCCACGTCGAGCCGCGATTGCTGCCACGCGGCCCATTAGGGACGACCCAGATCGTCCCCAGCGTGTACATGGCTCCCACTATGTGGGCGTTGTGGCCACGCGTCGCTCCGGCGGAGTCTTTTTGTGCGCGGGAAGTCGACGATCCCGCCAAAAGTGTCAGTGCGCGATCAATGCGGCGCAAATCGGACCGTCCAAAACGTAACACTTTTGTGGCATCTCACCTTGCAAGCGAGGTCGATGTCGACCAAGTCATCCAACGGCCCACAACCGAGCCACGCGGCACATTCCCAATACTGTCCAGGTTCAATGAACCTAACCACACAACCAAGCGCGCAGAGTGGAAGCGGCGCCGATCACGAGGCGCCACGCTGGGCCTCAGTAATCCAGGGCCCCTAGGAGATGGAAGTCGGCATGCCCTAATTTCCGCGGAGAGGCACCAATGTCGGTCCCAAGCCACGTAACACACGCCCATTCCACAGTGGAATGGCCCAGGTTTGCGCCCCTTGGGTGCAGCGCGACGTCCCATTAGCCATGCTTGGCACGTGGCACGTCGGACAGTACGCCGCCACACGAGTTCACATGCATGGCGGCAAAAGCACAGGGGTTTGCGTGAACCGCGGCAGCATCGGAGTCGCTCAGAACCATACCCCACCGTGACCGTGCACCGGTGCTCATTCCCTTGTCCGTTCCTGCGTTTCTTCCTGCTCTCTAGTGCACTTAGAAATTTCAGCTGCTTGTATGATACTCGGTTGCCGACTACTCGTTCAAGTCGGCACTTCTTGCTTCTACCTGGCACCCACCAAAAACGTCGGCGGTGGTCAGTACTCGTCGCAGTCGACGTCAGGTGTTGTAGGGCAACATCGGTGCAAACTATCAACGTCCCGGCCGACCTAGCAAGTCGGCGACGCATGGCCAGAGGTCGCCCTAGAGCCCAACAGCCGCAACCCATCCCACCCCCCGCCGACTCAGTAGACGCCGACATCAAAGCGCAGCTGGAACGTCTCGAGGTCGAAGCCGAGATAGACGATCTTGAGCGAGAATTCGAAGAGGACCGCCACGCAACTTTTCGGGCGTACACTGCGCCCGCGACTCAGTTCCGTCTCTGGTTTACCAACCTCCGCATCGCACACGGACGAAGGTAGAGCATCATACGTGCTGCCACATGGCCGACGTCGACATGTCCGACGCTAGTCCCCCCACCGACCACAGTCCTACATCTACCGAGGAAGAGACGCTCCCGTTACTCTACGATCTTGACGCGCTGACAGAGATTCCGGAAGGAGAGTTCACCAAGGACATTCCCCCACCGCCGATCGGGGAGTTCAACAAGAAAAAAAAAACCGACTCCGACACAAAATGGACAGCCAGGAACTTCGTCTGCACCGGCCGGCTCTGGAAACCAGGTTGATGAGGAGGAGGAGGAGGAGGAGGAGGAGGAGGAGGAGGAGGAGGAAAGCGATGACGAAAACGATGAGCGTCCACCGCGTAGCACTAATCCGCGCACATTGGAAGAACGACTCAGGCGGGAACTTGAATACATAGATACACTGCTCGAACAGGACGAGGATGAGGACCAGGAGAACATGTCGGTGCCGCGCGAACAGTGGAGGGCGGCAGACTTCGTCGAGGAAGACATGGTGTACGCGTGCATCGACGTGCTCGTCATGGACGCCCTACGCCACCTGCAAACCCTGGAGAAGAACAGCACGCTGAGGCAGTACACCTCCTGGATATACCACTACAAGAGGTGGGCGGCGAAGATGTTGAGGCAAATTCGCAACAAACTTCCCCAGGAGCACAGGCTTAAGCACGTCGACGAGATAGGCCACTACATCCGGGACAACAAGAAGAAGAATTGGGACCAGGAGGCCGATGTCCCCCGGGCGTACGTGTGGCTGCATGGCCCTAAGGTCACCAAGACCCGGCTTCGCGCGTACGTGAAGTACATGGTGCGTGAGTGTAAGCTCGATGCCGACTCCATCGAGGAGGAGAACAACGCCGCGCGAACCCAGCCTGTGCAATCTACGACGGTGCACACGCTCCTCGGGCGCATAAAGGCATGCCAGATGGCGGCGAGAGTGGAGGCGACGCTCTACCGGGAGACGGAGCTGAGCATCATGCGGGAGATATCGGTGGTCAGGTCGGAGGTGCGGTTCATGATCCGCACCAAGAACGAGCGGGACATCAAGTAAGTTGAGGTCCAATCTATGTCATCCACACTATGAAGTCGACGCCGCCCTGAATAACCCTTACTCTTGGCTTTGTGGGCAGGAACTGCGCCGATCGCCGTCGCGGAACCATCGGCGATACCTACACCGCCGAACAGTTTCGCCAGATCATGATGAGGGTGCTGCCGGCGTGGGCGGCCAAGGCGTGGAACCCGCGGGGAACGGGTCCTTCCCAGACGCTGTGGAGGTTCCTGCTCTTGAAGGTGCTCACGCTACTCTCCCACCACTCTCTCCTGCGCGGTGCAAGCATCCGCGAGATCACGCTCCCCGACATCTTCTTGTACCGACTGGCGAGCACCTCGTCGGTGAACCCGGAGAACCAGCCGGTCGTCATGGTCATCGCTGCGCGGAACTCGAAGACGTCCAAGGATGCGTGTCTGCAGCAGAGCTACGCGGCGCGACACCTCGAAGCGGAGTTATGCGCCGTCGGCGAGACTGGCCTGTGGTTGCACTTCATCCTCGACCAGATCGGCCAGTTTCACGGCGTCGGCCTCATTCCGCCGGTGGACACCAGCACACGCGCGAGCTGGTACAAGAAGCACCTTTTCTTCGCCAAAAACGACACCGACCAAGGGGAGCTCTCTGCGGCAAGTCACCAACGCTGGACGCGGCAGCTGTGGGACAAGAACGGGGTGTTCTGCAAAAGGAATGTGCACGCCGCTCGAGCGGGAGGGGCCCAGGAGCTGGCCATCGACGGCACGCCGCGCGCCGAGATCGCGGAGCTGGGTCACTGGGCGCTCGACAAGATGACGCGAGCGTACATCACCGCCAGTCCGGGTGGGGGTGGTGATGAAGAAGGCCGGTTACTCTGGTTACAAGCAGGACTACTTCTTGGGTCGGAGCAGGGTGCCGCCTTCCGAGAAGCTCTTGAAGCTCATCGCCGAGCACATTTTCCCCGGCGTCGACGCCATGCTGAAGAAGGTATGTTAAGCGACGCCGACGTAGTCTTGTCTTCGTGTCGTGTTGCCGACCGTACCTGAATACCCAATATACATGAGCGACGCCAACGTAGTCTTGTCTTCGTGTCGTGTTGCCGACCGTACCTGAACACCCAATATACATGACGATTTGCAGGCAGAAGGGCTCGCTGCCAAGGGGTCCGACGCTGACAGAGCCGCCGTGCACTTCTGGCGCACACTCCAGATGCTGCGCCGCATCGTCGCGGAGGACCTAGCGGTGAAGCTGGTCCGCACACCATGGCACCCGTACGTCCAAGGTTCCAAGCTCTGCCGGATCCCCCTCTTCCAACACTGGGCGAAATGGGTCGAGAAGGTCGACACCGAGACGATCAACAAGCGTCGGGACCCGACCCAAATTCAGGCAGAGGTAAGTCGACAATCATGTCGGCGACGAGCTGTATGGAGTGTATGCCAAACCACATCGCAGCGCTTGTACTGGCATCCGGCTGAGTGACTGGTGGAGCTGCCGCTTTGCGTGCGCCTAACTGGGCGCGGAGAAACGCGGACTTTGGGTCCGCAGGCGGTCGGGAGGCGACCTGAGGCGCGGCAAGTGGGGCACCGGACGACGTGCCGGCAACCTGCGGGGTGACGGAGCGACGAGCTGTTTCGGCAAGGCCGGCGTCGACCACGGGAGGCTGCTGCACGTCCCTGCGATGTGTCTCTATGCGGAGGAGCAACTCCCTGAGCGCGTTACCACCGGCGGGCAACTTAGCAGCTGACGGACCATCGCGCTTAGGCGCAGGAGCCTTCGCGTCGCCCTTGGCGGCCGAAGGGGCTGCTGGAGCTGGAGGGGCCGCAATGGCCGGCCCTTCGTTGTTGGCGCCTGACTGGCCGGCCGGCGCGGTGGTAGCCGAGGGGGGGGGTCGGGGAATCGACATGGACCCCGCCATTGCGACGGACGGTCCCTTGGCGGTTCTGGCGCCACCATCTTTCGCCGTCTGAGCGGTTGGTATCTCCTTGTCGCGCACGCCTTTCCCACCGCTCGCCTGAGAATGGGTCTGCTCGGCGACCAAAGGCGGGCCTTCCGGTGCCGCGACTTTAGCGGCAACCTCGTCGGCAGTACCACCCTCTGCCCCCCCGCTCCCATCCCCCTTGCTGGAAGACGACCTTAACACCTTCCACCCCGCCTTCGTCTTCAGCTGGTCGACCACGCTCTGTGAAGCAGGCTTCGAGCCGCCTGGACCGCGGCTCCCGTCCGCTCCCTTGCTCCTTCACGCTCACCGAACCGTCTCCGCCGCCCGTCCTCTTCTGGCCCTGCTTGTCGGCCTCCCTCCGTTGCGCCTGATCGGCGACATTGGCCGACGGCGACGCGCCTAGACCGCGGCTCCCGTCCGCTCCCTTGCTCCGCTCCACGCTCCCCGCATCGTCACCGCCGCCCGTCCTATTCTGGCCCTGCTTGTCGGCCTCCCTCCGTTGCGCGTGATCGGCGTCATTGGCCGAAGGCGACGACCCACGTCGACCAGGCGCCACAGTGCCGATCATCTCGGTCATGAACTTCATCCCGGAAGCTAGGAACGACTGCTGGGTGGCCTCCGTCACCGCCTTCAAGATGTCTGCCTTGAACGACTTCAAGAGCTCCTCCGGTAAGGCGGGCGTTGGGGCGGGCGGCGTGGGCTGAGTCGGAGGCGGCGGCTGCACGGCGAGCCTATGAGTCACAGCGGTGGCGATGTTGACCTGCGCGGAGGCTAGGTGGTTCGAGATGTACTCCTCCAAACCCCTCTTCGCATCGCCCACCACCGTATCGACGTGTTCGGCCAAGGTGGAGAACGCCTCGGCGCGTGCATATGCCATATTTCCCTCCGGATTGTCAAAGTCCAGCAACCACGCCGACGCCAGTTCCGCGAAGGACTTCATCAATTTCCACGCTTCGTCGAAGCTGCCGGTGATGTTGCCCGTGATGGTCGTCGACATGGCCGACGTCGCGTTCCGCAGCCGTTCCGCCGCAGTCTGGTCGGAGTCGGCGACCTGGTCGGCCAACTCGTTCACCTTGTCGACGAGTCCACGTACCCCGACAAAAAACATGTCCAGCCGAGCCTTCTCCTCATCGAGCAACGTCGCCAGCCGAGTGTTCTCCGCCCTCAACAAACAGTTCTCCCGTCGAAGCTCCTCGACGTCGTCTAGTTCAGGACCCTGCCGACCAGATGCTTCCCCCGTCTCCTGCACGCCCGTGATGTTCGCCCCTTCGCCGGCGTCGACCGGCACCTTCCCACTTCCATTGCATGCCGCCTCCTCCTGGCCCTTTTCCGTCGTTGCCTCTACGCCGACCTCATCCTTCTCCTTCCCCCCATCTGCCGACCTCGTAGTATTACCCGCATCGCCATCCTCCTCTTCCTCGTTCCTCTCATCCGCCGACCCCGCCGCCTCTTCCGCCGCTCCCACCTCAACCGTACCGTCTACGTACTCCACCTCGTACTCCACCTCTTCCTCCACCCCTTCCTCATCCTTCTCGTCCTCCTCCTCCTCCCCCTCGTCCTCCTCATCCTGCTTTACTGCCTCGTCCTCCTCCGACTCCGACTCGGACCCCCACCCCGACTCCTCTTCCTTCCGTTCTGCACCTGCCGCAGCGTCGCCTCCTCCTCCACCGATTCCTCCTCCCGCAGACACCCTCGCGCTCCCCTGATGCTGGGCGACAACTGCTGCTTGGGGCGCCGTCTGTCTTTCCGCGCCGTCGTCGTCAATCGAACCGTCGGCGGGGCCGAGCGCTTGTGAAGTTGGCGCCGCAGAGCGTTTTTCGGCGATGCGCTTGCAGATGTACTCCACCATGTTGTCTCGCAAACCCCTCAGCCCCTTGGTCTTGATGTTCTCGATGCTCACCCCACTACGGCCCTTCTCGCCCGTCAGCATGTCAATCTGCTTGGCCACCCACCCGAACGACGTCGCGGCAAGCATGCCGGTGCCGACATGCCCGTCCGACACTGTGTCCGGCACTTTCTGCGTACAACACGGGCAAGCGGGGAACATTATGAGCGGAGCATACAGAAACGTGCACCCCCTTTAATGCTCAAACGTGCAACTCACGTCGCGGATAGGGTCGTCGCAGTCGGCAAGCCTTTCCTCCACCACTGCTTGTGATGGCGGCGCCCCGTCCCACTTCCTACCGGGACGCCCCAGCTCGGCCAGGACAGCCGTGCGGAATAACCTGGAGCATCGTGGTAAAAGGAGGCGGTCAGCACGTGATACCCTGTGTCGGCGACTAACAAGCGGGACATCGACGACTATTCACAACTTACTTCAGCACGCGGACGGCCTCGTCGCGGTGGACCAGTTTACCGGTCTGCGGGTCGATGTGCCGGATCGAGGTCCTGCACACATGTCCCTCAGCCTTCAGCAGATCTCCTGGGTAGAGGATGGCTATGACGCTGCAGTGTGGTCCTGGAAGGGGACCGCCTCTGCACATGCAATACACGACGGCGTCAATCACAATATACGATGCGACCGACCACACAAAACGATAACTGGACAATGGGGAAACGGCTCACGTTGTTCTTAACGGGATCGCGGCGATGTCGGCGTCGAAAACCGTAGCAAAGCAAGAATGGTTGGCGGCCTTCATGGCCGATCGAAGCGGGCCGACTCCGATTACCCACAACCGCTGGTCGTCCAGCCCAATGCGAAACCAAGCGTACCTGATCGCACGATTGGGCATGAGGGATGATATAAGGGAGGGTGAGCAAACGCTACCAGGTCGACCTCTACCGAACGTCAAACGCCGACTGTACGTGGTCGACGTCCCTGGACGGGGTCTATGCCTAATACCGCGTACGCCGACGACAGTCCGATGACAACCGGCGACAATGCGTTCCCCAACGGCGCCGACATCTACCCTATGCGCCCTTCTAGAGTTTAGTCGGCGCCGACATCTACCCTATTCGCCCACAGCGACTACTCGAGTCCCACCTGATGCCGAACCCCAAGCATCTCTCGTTGAACTCCTTCTTGTGGTCGCGAAGGACGGCGGAGTCGTCCCACTCGAAAGTGAAGCTGAGACCGCGACCCATGCGGTGACGAAGAGGAAAGTCGGCCGATGTCGGCGCCGACTTATCGGCGTCGGGGCTCGGCTCCATATCGACTAAGGGAAGACACGGACGGCTAAGGAACGATAGCACAGATTTGGGGGGGGGGGGGGGGGGGGGGGGGGGGGGGGGGGGGGGGCAGAGCTAGCAACTTCCGAAGATCGAAACGAGAAAATGAGGAAAATGAGGAGCGAAGCCACCTTCCACAAAGAAAAGGAGGTGGTGCCCCACCCCAGGCCCGTTCAGCATCGCCCAAGGGTGTGGGGCCTGGCTCGGCAGGGCTCGGAGGGCGCACGCGCAAGTGGCACGGGTCGTCCGTCTCCGCCTTGGTAGAGCGTCGACTTCGCGTCCATTGGCACAGGTCGGCGAGGGGACGCAAATTCGCATGCGCGCGGAGCGTCGCTTAGGTCGACACGTGTCGAGTTCGTAGCGGCTCGCGATGATATCGCGCATTCGATGCGAGTGGTTTCAATTTCGCATCGGTCGAAATTTGGCATGCGCACGATGCGAGCCCACGGGCGAACACGTGGCGGCACTGCAGCGGGTCGCGAAACTGTTGAGCGTCCTGAGGGGGGCCCCGAATTTTCGCCAGGCCCTCGCCTGCCCGTCCGGGCAGGCCGCGATGGGTTACTAGGACCTCGCGGGCAGGTGGCACGGGTGGGCTGCCTTCGCGCGAGGGTTACTTTCCCTCGCGCCAGGTGTCGCCAGTTCGCCGACCCCACCCGGTAACGTGGGTCGCTGTTCACGTTCGGAGCGGGGCTGCGGGGCGGCGGTCGTGCGCTCGGCCCAGCCCTGGGCCAGGCTGGCGGGCCCGCACGCGCGTCAGTCGCCCGCCTCGTCAGGCCCGGCTCCGACGACCCCCCTCGACGACACTGGCAAATCGGTTCTGACGACCGAATTGCGCTGAGATGTTCGGAGGCGTCTCATCCCTAGTACACCTTGTGTTCGCTCTATTGTAGATTCGGTTTGTGGAGACTCACCGCGCCCAACGGCTTGCTATCTCACACATCAAATTGTCACAGTTCTTCTGACTGCGGCTCAATGAGGTGCTCTTTGTTTCAGAGCGATAAGGTTAAGACAAAAGACGGTTGTGTAGGGTGATATAAAATGAAACAAAAATATAAAACGCCCTTACAAAGCGGACGGCGCATTTTTTACCCACATGCTAAGAATTTTAATGTCTCAGTGCTGAATAATCCTTTCTTTTCAGAATAAATTGAAGGAATTCTGATTCTTTCAATAGCTTGTTTTCCGCTCTATAGAATTTTCCTCTCATCATCAAATTGGCCACTCACTTCATTCTCTTCTCTCATACTGTTAGTTTGCACTTCTCTTCAGAGAGAATGTGAGCTACAAGGACCAAATGGAAGATGCTGCAACGCCTTAGCGGGTGGCTCCACGTTTCCTTGTTCCACGTCACCATCTCATCCAACCCCAAGCGACCCTCCATCCTGTCCCCTCTTCTTCCATCCTAGAAATAATCGTTTCACGCGGTGCAGGGCGGTACCTCGCGTTAGAAAAAGGTGCTATTGCAGCACCGTTCTGGAACGTATTCGAACCCGAGTCAACCGTTCATTGCTTGTGTAACCCGCCCTTACCTCTCTGCTTTCCCCAATACTCTTCTCCTTTCCCTATTACCTCCCACTACCTTCTGCTGCTTGGGAAACAGGAACTTATTTTGGTCAACTTTGACTGCGCGTGGTTTACTTGTCGCGCGGAGCCATGGCGTCCTCGTCGCTTTCCTGCTTGCAGCAAGCCTCGGCCTGCACGGTGAGGGAGCACGGCTAGAAATAAAGCGCTCGTGCTTCGCTAATGCCGTCAGCATTAGCAGATAAGAATGTTTCTGAAGCGAGTGCATTGTCAGCATTTGGTTCAGTTCAACGGTCACGTTAGTCGATCTCCCGTTCTCTCCTCTCTTTTCTGACTCGCGCAAGCAGAAGGCACGATGCCTCCCCGTCGATTCCTCGTTTTAGGGTTTCCATAGGTTCCTGACTTCGACAGTTAACTGTGTTTGTTAAAACGATCCTTTTGTATCAGTCGCCGAGCTCTTTAACGAGGACTGTTTCCTCTTCCAATGGGGAATTATGCAGGGTTTAGCCAGCCTCCATCGGGTGCCGGACCGCACCATCAATAGAGCCCGCTGCCTTCCTGCTTAGCATGCTGTAGAGGTGTTTTTTAGTGTAGTTTTTACTGTACACGTTTTGAACGAGTTTCTCGTCAGCGCGTCGGACCACACTCTTAGAGCACCAGCGGTGTTCAGGTGCCGATGTGCCTTCGGTCTCAGCTTGCCTCTCAGTACGGGATTTGAAAAACGCCCAACTGAGGAACGCGCCGTCCACGAACCAGTACATTCGGCTATCTACCCTTAGGAAGGACGTGTCAGTAGGGTATTTAACCAGGTGACTCCCTGGTCGACTCGAGAGGCAGCTGAGACAACTTAAATATCAGCTTCGCTACGAAGTGACGTCTTAATGAGGTCCAGCTTGCCTTTGTTTCGAAGTTTTCTCATTCCCATCATTGTTCATATCCCCTGCTGGCGTAGACTGGTCCCTCAGGCTGCCCTCGAATCCGTTTTCTGTTTCTTTCCCAGCCTCTTCCTCCTCCACCTCCTCCTCCTCCTCCTCCTCCTCCTCCTCCTCCTCCTCCTCCTCCTCCTCCTCCTCCTCCTCCTCCTCCTCCTCCTCCTCCTCCTCCTCCTCCTCCTCCTCCTCCTCCTCCTCCTCCTCCTCCTCCTCCTCCTCCTCCTCGTCGTCGTCGTCGTTAAGACTCATTTATGCCTCCCTTTTCCAACACCTCAGCCACTTGTTCCTCTCTTCTGGTCCCCTTTCTTTTCTCCCCCTTTACCTCCCGCCTCCCCCCCTCTCCGCTCACCCCCACCTGGTAACCCCCCAGACTGCCAGGCTGGCAAACCTATCCAGCTCACGCAGCTGCCACGTCACCAGCCAGCGCCTCTCATTCCCCTCCCTCGCCTGCTCCAGCACCTCCGCGTCTCGCGCCGCAACCGGCGGCGCGGTGCGCGTGAGCGCGGTGAAGAAGCAGGAGGAGCTGGCGGAGATCCGCGGGATGGGGACGGCGGAGATCGAGCAGGCGGTGGTGGACCTCAAGGGCGAGCTCTTCCTGCTGCGCGCCAAGCAGGCCACGCGTCTCGAGTTCAAGCCCAGCGAGTTCGGCCGCATTCACAAGCGGGTGAGAGAAGCTTATGGGAACTTGGAATTGGGGGAGTGGGGGGGATGTTTGGGGGGGGTTGGCGGGGTGGGAGTGATTGGGAGAGTGGCGGAATGTTCGCAGATGAAGGGGAGAGGGTGATCGATGAAGGGGCGAGGTGTGGAAGTGTGGGAGGGGTCGAAAGGGGGCGGTAGGAGGCGGAAGAAGGGCGAAGGAGGGGGGGATCTGTGGGATGAGGGCAGCGGAGATTGAGGAGGGAAGGGCGCGCAGGTGGATAATGCGAGGGAAGAGATAGGTGGGCTGCGCACGGGTTTCTGGGCGCAGGCTCATTGGGCGGAGTTTCACGAGCATATCACTGCTGGTATGAGAAATGTTTGGGAGGATATGTGTGATTGTGCGTCTGGGCTCACTTTGAAGCCTGTGCGAGCATGGGACGCCTCGTGGGACGCACTGTGGGATGCACTGTGGTACATACTGTGCACAATGGATGGCTCATGTGTCATGGGCATGTATGGGTGACTATGTTGGCAGCTTTGCTGAGGTGGCACTGGGAATCGCTCATGCACAGCGATTGCGGGGTCGTACTGTGGCAGAGCTTGCCACATAAGCTGCTTCAACTGGATGTAATACTTAAAGCTGGCTCCATATTTTTATTTCTTTGGCGGTGCCTTTCGGTGTTTGGCAGATTGCACGGATGCTGACTGTGAGGCGGGAGAGGGAGTTGGAGCAGGGCATTGGGAAGAGAGAGTCGCGAAAGCTTGACCGAGCATGGAAGAAAAGCATTGTGCCACGCCCGCCACCCTCTTACAACCCTGAGGAATGGAAGAAATAGAGTGGTGGTGATTAGTTGCAGCGACATGTATGAGAAGTCCGGTTCGCGATTGTATGCTGTCTGATGTGATATAATACATGCATGGAAGACAGTCATGCATGCTGCAAACGTTGGGCCACTGTTCCTTGAGCAGACATCTGCATCACCTTGTTGATGGATGTCTGGGAATTAATATTGAACTGGATGCATAAGAAGTGAAGTGTACTACATTGAGTACGGCGACTTTCAACCAGTTTCACTGCGGGTCAATTGGCTTTGACAACGCAGTCACGTCAGTGACCAGAAGCGGCAAAGAAACCCGAGAGCCTCAAGCAATTGCGAACGCTACGAATCACATCACTCGGACAAGGCATTGCCCCGAATCGCCAAACAAACATTGCGTGAGTGGCGTTCGCTCGATCATCACATGATTGGTTGAAGGAGAAGCCACGGACCGGTCAAGCGTGGTCGTCACGGTAAATGTCTCACCAGAGAAGAACCAAATTTCAGCAAGACGCTTCGGCGACTTTCGCGACTCGCGAGGTTGCACAAATTTGTGAAGGCATTCTGGCAGCCAGCAGCATGCAACACAAATCCCTGAGTACAACGTCTGCCCTTTTAGCTCGTTTCTCTTCCGACCAGCATTCCAATCAGGTGTGAAATCGAACGCCAGACCTTATTAGTTCAGACTCCAGACCAGCAGGCAAGCGTTTTTACCAGCCTCGAAGAATATCTTATAGAATTATCGACGTTTCTCACTCCCCTTTCCTGAAAAAAATAGAAGACTGTGAATAGATGTCAAGGATTACTAGCGGTGGTAGGTGCAATAAGGTCCGAGATATGCCAAGGGTTGGTTACCATAATAACGTCTCGAAGGATCCTGGCGCGTCGAGAGGACAGAAGAGCAAACTTGCTGCAGCGCTCAAGATCCTCCTTATCGGAGACAGTGGTACGTAGTATCTGCACGATTACCTTATCAATGCATGTAGTTTTCTCAGAGCATTGCGAGAACTTTGGCCCAAGCCATCTAGTTTTAATGCATCTGAAGTTCGCATTTACACTGTAAATTTATGTGCATATTTTTTTTTCAATATTTCAGCCGCGTAGCGTTCACATAATCATTTGGAAAAAAATTCACGGGTGTCCTTTTTTTAAGAAAAAAAAAGAGAAACAAAACCCGTGTTTCTACTATTATTATTGCTATTAATTTTGCTCTTAGTCTGCGTTCTACATTTCTCCGCGTGGTTCATGGCAGCTGTGGGAAAGAGCAGTCTTCTCCTCCGTTTTTCAGAGGACCAATTTCGGAGCGACCTCACATCCACAATTGGGTATGAGCAACACAGATTCTTCTATCCCCTCTTCCCATCCCCAAAATGTTGCTGACCCAAACCTGACCTTGCAGATAATCTAGCCCAGAGCTAACCCGAAAGTCACCCCAAAGAAGGTTTGGGGTCAGAATTTCAGATCAGGTCAGGTTCAGGTCAGTGAGTTTTTTGGCCCAAAAGTAACCTGACCCGCACAGCCCATGGGGATCTGGGGAGCCAGGTTCGATACTTGTCGCTGGCAGTTCTAGACTCCAAATTTTCTATTGACTTCGAAAACATATTGATCGTAACAAACAAAACATCTAGCAGAGCTCTGCAAGATTCGATCACCTTCCCTTCGGATCAACACTACAATATTGAACCACTATGCCAAGCTTTCACAACACAGGGCCGTTTATAATGTCAACAATAATTATTTTTACGACGAAATCAAATCTCGCTTGGGTTTCAATTTCCATTGTCCTTCTGGTGGTGTCCACCAACCTCACCTCACAGCATATATCCTTTCACTTCCCAACATTTCGCATTTAGATCTACCTGCTCCAATCTTGAATCTTAGAGATTTCACTAGCCCTTCCCTCTACCCTTAGCTACCTAAAGCGCTTTCTTAAAAATACCCCTACCCCGCCCTCTTTCCATTTCTATCTGTCCTCATTGCAGGCTTCGATTACTGTCATGCTGATGTTTTTTTACGTTACGTTGTTATATAATGAAATATATATTATACAATTTCAACAAAGATTTTTTTTTACAAAAAAGGGCACACTGTAACGGGGATATAATCAGGCCATGCGCTGGCCACGTGTGACCCGAAACTGACCCAAATCTGACCCGTACCTGACTTTTCCCGCCAAAACTTAACCCGTACCTGACCCGTACCTGACATTTCCCGCCAAAACCTGACCCGTACCTGACCCATACCTGACCCGTACCTGACCCGAAAGTCACTTATGGGTTAGCCATCTGACCTCAGACTAGCCTAAAGTGTCAGTTCCAGAAGTAACTTGTGGGTCAGTTTCTGAGGTGACCTGAATGTTGCCCCGGAGTAACCTGGGGGTCCATTTCGGGTCAGAACATTTTAGAGATGCCGCCTCTCCCAGTGTCATACTCTCATTCTCCCACAACCCCTTTGATCCCCACTCCTTCCTTTCCGCGATGTCCTTTATCCTTCGCTCCAAGTAAGACCAACACACATACAATTTTCAGACCAACACACATACAATTTTCAGACCAACACACAAACAACTTTTAGACCAACACACGTATGACCAACACCATAAACTCATACTTTCTCACCACCCATAAGCTCATAGTTACTAACGCTCAGCCATACAAGTTTGTGCACACACTGAACCGCGCAATAAGACTCGTCTGTTAGACTGAATATGACTCATTGTCAATTATGTGGTTTCTGGTTATGTAGAAAACCCCTGCTCTTCTCCTTCTTGGCTGCAGAGTTGGCTTCTTGATTCGCACGACCGAAATCGATGGTGAACCGGTGAAGATGTCTATATGGGATACAGCTGGGCAGGAGAAATATCGCACCATCACTGAAGGTAGATATCGCCATAAACCATGTTCCGTGATTCTTGTTCTAACGGCAAGCATTGCTGAATTTGCCGAGTCTGTTGAATGTGTTTACCCAGTGGACATTCATGCCTGCTACCTTTATCGCAGCTACCTTTTGTGCCAATACCAGAGCAGAGTTATATACTACCATTCTTAATGTGCTCTTTCATGCGTGCCTGTTCGTGCTCACTCTTTGCAGCCTACTATCGGAACGCTCACGGTATAATTCTCATCTACGACATCACCGACCCATTATCATTCAACAGTAAGCTTGTCATCATACGCTCTCTCATTTGTTTGTGTAACTCTCACATTTTTGTTCTTGTATTTTAACTTCAGTTTTGTGCATGGCTATACAGATGTGCGAGGGTGGATCAAGAGCATTGAGGAGCATTCGACGTGCGGGGTGCGTGTGGTTCTTGTCGGCAACAAGGCTGACATGGACGACCGAAGGGTATGTTGTTCGACACAACTTATGGAGGACATGAACCATGTGTGCGCCTGTTGTGAATGCTGCTTTTCTAAAAAATTATGAGGCCAAAGCCCCATAGTAACATCTCTCTCTCTCTCTCTCTCTCTCTCTCTCTCTCTCTCTCTCTCTCTCTCTCTCTCTCTCTCTCTCTCTCTCTCTCTCTCTCTCTCTCTCTCTCTCTCTCTTTCGCTCCCCCATCTCTCCCACTCTCTCACCCTCATCTTCCTTCATGTGCACCAGGTTGTAAGCAAAGAACAAGGGCAACAACTGGCTAACGAGTTCAATGTCAACTTTTTTGAGACTGTACGTTTTCTTCCTTTTCCCCATGAAACTGCTGACGTTAAACTGATCACATCCACATGAATTTGGCATTGCCTCGTTTCGTATATATTGCAATTATACAAGACGTGTTTGGATCGGCTGTTCAAAACGGCACAATTCTAATTCCTTTCCTGTTTTACTCTTTCCAGTCTGCTAAAGCGGATATCAATGTTGAGGAGGCATTCCAGTGCATCGCCAAGGAGAGCAAACAACTATACGACATGATCCACTCTCAGCATCGCGAGGTGTGCACTTTTCCATTCTTATGTACCGGTATTTGTTGCCCATGATACCGTTTATCACATGGTTTCACAAAGCTTACAAATGCACCATGTTTGACATGCTTATTACAAGATCATCACAGCTTATCTATGGCCTAGACATCATTGAATGCGTGTTTTTTCAGCCCCCTCGTCCCTTTCTCCACTCTCTTACCCCTTTGCATGGGCCACGCAGGTATTAACGTGTATCAACCTCGAACAAAAATCAACACCATCCCTTACCAGTTCTACTTGTTGTGTTTGATGACAGAATATGTACCTGTTAATTACCATATTGATTTTGACCATTCATGCTTAGGGTCGCTCATAGTGAATAAATTCACAAAATATACGCCCAGGATTTTTTTTAATAGATGGAGCTTCACTACATCAGAGATACAGCAAAGGGGGCCACAGTCGTAACTGTTGCATAAAGGGGGGCTTATATGCAGGATGCAAGGAGCCACCCCAAACAGCATCTACGGTAACTTAAACCTAACCTATCTATCCGTCCAGATGGACAAAGATTCATCACGCCATCTAAGCTTGTTGTCTGACCGTTCGCTAACATTTTCCAGAGCCGAAATTTTATCCTTGGCCAAGTGTCTCTTGGCCACGTGTCGCTTCTTCGCCCAAGCCTTCTTTCGCTTGATACCCTCGTAGGTGCGAGCGTGCAAACAGAAAGCCGTCACAATCTTTCTCATCACCTTCCTGTACAGGAACTTTTCCCCCTGAAAACAGCGTGGCATCGCTCCATCCAGCTTTGGTGAAATGTAGTCGCCGATACCGTGAGCTCCGGAAATGCTGATGAGGTGCCCTCTCGCTGGAAGAGCAGATCGCCAAGTGTCCTAACCCTCCTCGCTTGGCTGAACCAGCAGAGGGCATCTGTTAGCGCGCCTATCACCAGTTGAATGACTCAGCAGGAGAACAGTGTCTAGCCCACTGTTTCTGCCTCCCCACAATGCGCGCATTTTACCCTCTCCCCCAGAAAGCGCAAGCGGTCTCCCACTTGCAAGTTGAAACAGTGTGTGCGCAGCAGGACATCACACGCCCTCGCGGGAACCACATGTGAATCCCTGCTCGTGATAGTCCTCTGTCACTCGATCCGCGTCCCCCAGCACCTCTCCCATTTCTCTTGCCTAGGAAGCTGCTCTGGGTGCTCTTGCTCCTTCTCCAGCTCCACCTTCAGCTGCTTCAGAGACGCAACGCTGCTCCCCACACAAAGATTTTGTTTCGAGCAGCCTAGCGTACGGGTCACCCATCTCTCCTGCAACCTGCTCTCCTACCATCACCAGTGGTGTAGCTGCTGACACAAACAACATCGTGACTTTGTCTCCATCTGATACATGCAAGGGGGTGAGCCAAGCTGCTCGTAGGTTGGGTAGGTTACCCGGTATTGTCTAGCTTTGTGAGAAGAACTCTGTACCTGGTTTCGGCGGTGCGTTCATTGGTGCACGAATGATTCGCGCAGTTCGCTAACTCCTTGTACACGCCCAAAATAACACACGTTCGGTTCATTGTGCACTCTCATGTTTGTGCATAGACTCAAGCCTTGTTCACTTCTTGTTGGTCGCATTTGAGTGTTTTCAATTTAAAAGCCCTTCGCCAAAACGTGTCGGCGACATTAGCGAAAGTGGTAACCACCCAAAGTTCAAAACCCGTCCCTGAGCCTTGAAAAATATCACACACGCCCTTAACAATGCTCCAATCATCACGTAGAGCCCCGTACCCTCCCACGCAGTCTATCTATTGTAGAGTGACTCTCCGTAGCTTCCTCTCCCCAAAGCTGTAGCCAAAGTTGGGGCACGACAGGGCTGCGGCTGGGCGTCGACGGATGGGCGTCGATGGATGGGCGTGTCGAAGCCCACAGCTTAGGCGCGACAAGGCCGCGACTGGGGCGCCACAAGAGGGCAGGACGGGACCGCACCGGAGCAGAATGGGGCACGCGCTTTCAAAAGGAGGCACTGGCATGCTAGCGGAGCGATCGCGTAACAAGGGCAATACTCGCAGTAATGGCGTTTGCGTGTCATCAGGCGCCTCCGCGCCAGCAGGGGCGCCCATGCTCTAGTAAAAGCAGATCGCAACAAGTAGGGTGGTGCACGGTAAAACTGGCAAGGTGTGGCCATAGTACAAAACAACTTGACGCTCTAGTTACCATGTCAAAGCAAGAGGCTACAGGGATTAAGAGCTAAGATGAATGGGTGGAGAAATATGGTTTAGACTAGGAAGAGAATGAAGAAACACAAGCAAGGTTGAGGTGCAGCACTAACACTCGTGATAGCTAGCTGCACTAGCATACTGAAGGCACTTTATGCCAAATGAGCACATTTAATTCAACTATTATATCGTCCGTGTGATCCTGCAAACACACTTATTGCACTTACCCTATGAGTGAACGCCTTTTGCGCATGCAGACTGGACATTATATCAAACGAATCGCCAAAACTACTCAAACACTTTTATTTGCCTTATGATTCTCCACCCCATTTTGAAAAGCCGTTCCCTTCCTATCCAATTTATACGAACACAGCAAAAATGGGCCTTAGTACCCGCGGCCCAAAATGCGGATTGTGTGGCTCTGCGTTTTCAATACTGACGGATGGGGTTCACAAACTTGAACAACGATGTTGCAACTTGGGACATTGACAACCAAACACGAACTTCTCCCTGCTTGGAAGTGATGCCAAGGGTTGGGCGAAAGTGCAACAAGCATTGCTCGCAACTCCTTCTACTAACTTTTGTTAGTAATGAGGACCCCTAACTGATCCTCGGGAAGGGTTACAGGCGCGTTCATTTGGGGGGTTATGGGCGCACTGACCCACTACTTCACAAGCCCTTTTATCCCAGTGATCTAGTGACTGGGATTCTGTCGTGGTATCAGAGTGGAAGGTCTCGAGTTCGGATCGCATGTGTGCCACTGCTCCAGAAAACGTTGTCAGTAGGTCCTGGGCCTTTCAGTGTGGGGGGGTGTCATTTGATCGGCACGGGAGATCCCCAATTGATCTTAGGGAAGGGTGTTAGAATCAGGAGCTAGAGCTTAGGAGTGAGCTTAGGAGTGAGCTAAGGAGCCATGGCTAGGAGGGAAGTTACGAGATAAGCTTAGAAGTGAGATTTGGAGAATGGAGGGAATCCACTATAGGGTTGGGAGTACAAATAGGGAAGGGAAAAAGGGTGCACTACCAGCAATAGGTTATAATATCTATCTAATACACTAGTAAGCTGTAGGCAGGTATAAGATATGCAATATAAATTAACACACCCCCGTAACTGCCTACGGCTATAGCTAGTGGTGTCTGGCAACAAGTCGCCTGGAGAGCGGTTGCTGTAGCTGGGATATGCAGAGAATCAGCGGTGGCGTGCCGGCAGATCCTATAAACGCCAGAATGGAGCAGGAGCTGGGCTAAACTGGAGGGCGTACATTGCTGGTGATAATCACCAACGGTTGAATAGGAGGAGGAAGCTGGTGGTGCACAGGAGGCGGTTAAGAGGAGGAGGTGGAAAGTTGGCTGGAAGAGAGGAGAGGAGATGCGGCTGGATGAGAGGAGAAGGGAGAGAGAGGGCGCGGTAAAAGGCACAGGCAGGGCGCGGGCTCCTCTCCCCTGCCACTTCCCCCCCATCCGCCACATCTCTGTACTGCAGAAGCAGGCGCGGGCAGGCGAGGCGACGGGGGGGGGAAGAAAATGGGACAGGGGGGAGGGAAAGGGCTGCGACGATCACCACGAGCGCTCTCCCCTCGACAAATCCTCCCCACCCGCCACCCGCCAACTCCCAGTACGGCAGACGTAGGCGCGGAAGAGGGGGCGACGGGCTAGGCACGCCACAGGCTGCGACGTGCGAGACGAAACGGGCGTGACGAGATTGAATGGGGAGGCACGACGAAGCCGCCAGCGTGCAGCTCGCCACCGCGATTGTTTTGTCCGCCACGAACGTCGCGGCGGATCCACAGCGGAAACGCGACCGAGGGCGACGAACGGGGGCGGGACGAAGGCCTTCACGAGAGGCACGACGGGCGCCATAAGCGAGGGAATTCGTGGGCCCATTGAGAAGTCGGTCCGCAGGATCTTAACACTCTGATAACATGTTAAGTTGAGGCTCTTAGGAACTTAGACTAAGGAAGTTGCAAGACAGATGGCAATTGGGTTTTGGCGAAATATGGGGGTTTGCATTATGGGAAGAGACACAAGATATAGAAGAGCAAAGGGAAGGTGGCAAAGGGGGGCTACACCACCTAGAGAGAAATATCATGATACTACACAACCTAGTCTACATGCAGTTACATACAAAAATATGATTTCTAGTATCCCCCCTTAATTGCATGCTCTACTCGGTAGTGAGAGGCAGTCACTCATAGCTGCGCAGTCACCGAGCCGCAGCTGGGACCACCGTGCTTGACTCCCACGGCAGGTGCCCACCTGCGATTTAACCCCCGCAGCGGATGCTCGGTGTGCGCGTCGATGGAGCGAACATGCAAAGAAACATCGATGTGAGGAACGAAACGAGAGGAGTAGCGAGCGCAGATGCAACGGAAGGTAGAGAAGAGGAGGCGGGATGGTGCTGCAGAATACCTCCCGCCACCCCCATACCCTCCCCCCCACCCCCACTGCTACGTGCGCAATAGGGAGAGGGAGGAGAAGGTGGGCGGCGTTGCAAGCAGCTCACGGCGGCCAGCCCTTCACGCCACCCTGTGCGCTGGCATGCTGGCGCGCTCTGGTGGGCTGTGTGTTAGCGTGCATGGTGGCTTGTGCGCTAATTGCTGCTCGTGTGCGTGCGTGCTAGCTCATCGCCATGCGCACTGGCGTGCACTGACTGCCTGCACGTACGTGCTGTCGCTGGCGTAACGGGCGTAGGCGACGGCGCGACGACCGGGGCGCCGGGGCGACGGGATGCGGGGCGGTTTGAGAGTACGACGACTTTGCATGACTTTACTGTCAGAATACGGAACAGGAATGATTGGATTGAGATCAGACTGAGTACAAGTACTAACCCTAATTGGGTTGTACCCCTTATGGGCTACCCCACTACAGCCTACACAACATAAGCATTATAATGTTTTGACACACCCCCATAGGCAAAGTGGGGGAGAACAAGTGGTCACAAGACCAGTCAAGAAAAGCAAAGCAAGCTCAGGGTGGATCACAAAGTCACCACACACTTCGAGTACAAGCAAATGGCCACAAGGTCAGTTCACATGCAGAGTTATATAAAAGAGAACAAACAGTACAGTGATCACAACCTAGCAAGTGTAAGCATGCAGGAATAAATATA